CGTCGCAAATTACTCGTCTGGATCAGATTTAAAACTCTCTTATTTTTCTCCCTAGGACAAAGGAGAAGCAAATTTATCCTTCTGCCTTAACGCTGCCGCTGTTGCGACGATTTGTTGCAAAGGAAACTTGTCTGCCCCGAGCTCTGTAGTTAATGTTAAGATAAATCAATTAATGTATTAATAAACATATAGGAATGATGCTTCTAATTGTTTTCTATATTTCTATTAAATCCATAATAAATCATTGCGACTTATCGAATGATCCTCCCATAAATTTTTGTACCTCGTTCTAAATACTTCACTCAATGATACAATGTGCTTGACGAGGATTGAAGGGAAAAGTTGTCGCGAACGTGCATGTGTCTTACGCCCTATGCGTCATATGCTCCATGTGTCATATGCACCAGGTGTCATATGCCCTATGATCAGAAGCCATCCTATTATTTTCAAAAGTGTGATAATGGTTTATATAAATACAGCCTTAAAAAATAAAGAAGGCAGTTCGTGACTTGCGTCCTTTATTCTGTTCAACCTCGTCGCGCATCTGTTTTTTTCGAACTCAACCGGACTCACACCGTGACCTCCCCCACACGTGCATGTTCTCAGGAAACACGTGAAATCGTTGTGAAACACCATCTGTTCATATTTATTTAATTCCTTTAGCAATATATATATATATTTTACCGTCATTATCATACTTTTGATTCGTTCATGGAAAATTCTTTTTTTTATATCTATATCTTTCTGAGAATTGACATGAATATTTATAAAGTTACAGGAGTGTTTATTAGTTTCTGAGAAATATCAAGTAACATAGCAATATCAAACATTATGGCAATATCATAGTAACATTTCCTTGGGAACAACTAGAATCAAAATCGATATAAATTGTAAATTTTTATTTTTTCACGATTTATCCCATTATAAGTACTGGTTTTGTCTCACAATTTCTATGATTGCTACTATGAATCGTTCTACACTTGTGTTGCAAGTTGAATTTATCAGTATCACATTTCTACATTTAAAAATTCAAATATTCAGACTTATAATGACCAAAAATTTTTACGTCGTATATATATATATATATATATATATATATATATATATATATATA